ACACCCGGCAGTCGTTAAACTAATACTAATTTCATGACAAATCATTTCTGTAACGTAACATTGTGCAAATACTTCAAAAATTTTTTTAAGTGTGTGTTCAAGGGTATGTTCCTTTTTGTAGCTTTTCCTTAGAGTTCTCAAAGACAATGACGTCATTATTTGACGTCATTTGTGTGTACTTGAAAGTTATTTGAAATCTTTATGTAAAATAAACAAGAATACAATGGAAGTAAACAAAAAAAAAAAAAAATAATGAAAATAAGTCTTAATCATCAAATTGTTTCGATTTGCGTGATACGACATGCGTCTGAATGAGACTATAGTCGAGAAGATTTACGGAAAACTTCTAGTTGCATGGAAATCCAACAAAAACGGTAACGTTTTATATTTTATTAATTTCTCAAGCTACTGTTGGCTGCATAAAATATAAAATAGAATCAGACACAGACATAACCTATCGATCATCAAAAAAAAAAAAAAAATTGACTCAATAAATGTAAAACACAAACTGTGTAACGTAAGTTTTTATGTGACAAAAAAATTTTGTACTAAAAAAGGGATCTGTCATTATTGATTCCAAATGATAACAAATTCATAGTATTAAAATATATATATATATGGATAAAGATGTACTTCTTTGAGTAAATATATTGTGTATCTCGTAATTTACAAAGGGAAAGAACATTCTTATGTATAAACTTTTTAATGCATTTTTAACATTTGACCCGAATAACTTCTCTCATCTCAATGTTCAGAGTAGCCCGATCCTCATGGGTGCAAAAATCCATGCCCGTGTTGTGACTACTAGTCATTTATTTGTGTACAAGCTTATATATTTCACGACATTTGCAATTTTGATCGGCAGGTTAAGTTGATCGACCTTGCCATTTCCACAAACGGAGTGTACATACTTCCCAACGATTTTTTTCTTTTTATTAAATTTCAATTGCACCTAATAGATACATTTTTGATTTATATAAGGATTTCTTAATAATCTCGTTATATGAATGAAGAGACGTCAAAAAATATGTTGTTGAGTAACAAATACAAACGCAGTCCCCTAGCATTCAGAATTTGTGTCTATATTGGGCTATTATTATTCTATTTAAAAATATATAATTAAAAGAAAAAAAGTCGTTTTCCTGATTTTAGCAATTCGGAAATGCATTACTATTGTGTGTGGAATTAAGGTCATTTAACTTGATCCTATATCTATTTTGTTTGCTTCCTTCCTTACAGGTTTTAAAAATGTGATATCGGATAAGTTAATAAATATTTGTGTCAATAACTAAATGCATTTAAAACAAAATAAATTTGTCAGCGAAAAGAAGAATTTGAAAGGGGATGCAGATTTGAAGAATGATTTCAATATTGAACCAATTTGTTGGCTTTTTCGGTAAAATATTGTTTGATTGTATTATTTGTATGTTAAGCAATATTTATTCTTTCAAACTCGTAAAAGAAAATAAGGATCGTTTTTTTTTAAATCAAGATTACTTTTTTTTTTTAATTTTTAGTGTGTATTATTTTTTTTCATGTTTTCTACGATGCCACCTCAAGTGTTACTCATTCAAAAAATACTTGTTCCATTCCTTGGAAAAGAAATTTTGGATTAACAACCAATGCAACAGATGAGACCGGGTATGAGAGGTTTTGTATGTTTTAAACTGAAATATTGATTATTATTTCTACGAAAACCATTCATCTAAATATTTCCTTTTTTATCGAGATGTAATATTGGACTTTAAAGTAGCGCTGACCTTTACAGTTGAAAGCTAACTTTTACACTAGAGCAATGTACGGAAGCTCTTTTACGATAGAAACATTTTGCTCAACATTTAATTCAGCTAAAATAAATGTTTTTTTTCAAAGCATAAATCAGCTGTCCTTAAAGAAAACGACAATCACACTACCCTCAACTCCCGGCCTTCACATGTTATGCCCCTAACAACATAAGGGGCACTACCTTTACCACTAGAAAGGTATTCTTATCCATTATCACTTCTGTATCTCCTTACACGATACAGGTTGAAATGTCAAGTTAACCGTCAACTGTAAAAGCCAGTGTTTATTGCAAAAGTCTATTATGAATTCAAGTATAAATTTAATTTTTATAAATAAATTTTACAGAAGATTTTTCGACGGATTGAGAAATATAATCACTGGTTTTTTATATAGTCATGAAGAAGGTAAGATATATAAAAAAATCCTTTAAAAATAATTTATCAATACCTTAAAATAGATATATATTATAAGAAAGAAACAAAATGAAATATATCGTGATAACAAACAGCACTAAAGCTCAAAAGTCCATCCAATAATAAAAAAAGGAGAAGAGCAATACGAATCTTTAAGACATAAGAGATGGGATCAGGTGTCATGGAGGAGTGAGCATTCCACCTCAAAAGATTACCAGGTTTATTTGATATTTAATTTTTGCAATGAAGGTTCTTTATGCAAAACATTTTCCAATCATATATTAATAGGTCTCAAAGAGAAAGATAATGTTAAATGGACTTTGATATTTGCATTGTTCGTTATCTCTATATCCTTCTTAAAAAGATTTTTTTTTATTATTTTTTTTAACTTGAATTAATATGCATATTGTTAATGATATTTACTTTCCTCGAACTCGACATAGGGATACATTGTACTTGCTGTTTTATGCTATTTATCTATTCAGCTAATGGAAAGACATTATTCTCTATGGCACGCCGATTGGTTCAAAAGTATTTTCTGCACGACTTTAAACAAAAATTACACGAGTTAGTCAAAACTTACACAAAGCGCGGAAAATACACACAAAGTTATTCAAATTTACATAAACTATACAAAAACTACACAATCAACAAAATATTTACACGATATAACGAGAAAATTACACAAACGTAAAAACGAAAACTGCACAAGTGAGAATACAAGATCGACATAATATACGACGCATCCTCATTGCGCACATTTCATTAATATTCATTAGAGAACAGATCAGTGTGGCTTGGAAGCTTGAAACGTTATAAAACAAGGGGATGGGTATGTGTTAACAATATTAATCTTTTAAAAAAGATTCGGTCTTTCAGAATTACGCTAGACTCTCAAAAATATGCACAACATGTTTTATGCATGTAAAAATTGACAGGCACACAATATGTATATTAATTAACATCCCCGATTAAAATATAGATAACGTTAAAAGGGGGATGCATATAAACTGTATATTTTCAGTTGCGTGTTTAATTGTTAGATTTTTTGTTTCATTCCTCTATATAGCAATATCTTTTGAAAGTTTAAAACAATGATATTATCATAGTAAAGGTAAATAAATAAAAACAGCGTGAGTTAATACAGGAGAGTTAACAACAAAACAAACTCTTCTCCTCCACCACCCACTGTGTGTACTTTGGTAATAATTAAGAATGTGGATGTGTGACCTTTTCACATCGAAATTCCTCCCTACTGGGATGGAATGAAAGACACGTGTATGCTAATCGATTTATAGTTATTTGACACTTCAATGATACCTTTTGGTTGGAGGTTATTAGCAATTCGTACAGAGATTTTGAAGCAATGTTGCTGTCATCTGGATTGTGGAATTTGCCCAATGTGAAAAAGTAGTACATGTAGTCTTAAATTTTGAACAACGTGTGGTGATTACATAAATACATGATACATGTATCCATGAAAATGTAAAATGTAAAATTATACAGTGTTTTACTTATGTGAATTTCAACTTAATTTCTGTTTTTCTAGAGTAGATTATTTTGAATAGGAAAAATGCATATTTATAAAGGAGTTAGACAATTTAAAAAAAAATATATAATTTAAAATTATAATATGCAGATACATATGTAGTATCTCTTTTAAAAGGGGGGGGGGGGTTGCCAAATAACCTAAAAAACCTTATTAACATGCAAAAAAAAAGTAAAGCGTCCAATCTCGAAAATCCTATTTCGTTGAGATAGTGAGGCACATTCAATTCCAATCCAGCAACAAAATAGGGGGCTTTTCAGTGGACATTTTACAATGGAAGTAGGTTCTTTTTGCAAAAAAAAACAAAAACAACAACAGCAACAAAAACCGGGGGGGGGGGGGGGGATTCTATAGGCCTAATTGATGATTAATTTTGTTTCATAATAATATAATCATGTTCTTTTTTATATAATGGCCATATACATGTATTTGGGTAAAAAAAGTAATCTTACAAGAAACTTAGTGTGTGGAAAATAATTTTAAAAATCATGAAGTCGAATTTGAAATGTAAACAGAATAAAGAACATGAATTATTTGCATTTTTTTAGAGTGATAAAACGCGTTCTATGACACTGCTGTATCCATTCTAATTTTTTTATTGCATTCTTTTTGTAACATTGTATGTAATATAAATGTACTTAGTAAAGCACACTGTTTTAAAAGTAATAAAACACAAAAGCGCATGTACATAAAACACACAGGGCATATATATCCTCCTTTTTTCTGGTCCTTTTTATTAAAAGGAAAACATTTATCATGTAATCGTCATTAAGAATGAGGGTAACGCTCACAAGAAATGTCTTGTTTTTAATTGAGTAGTTTATAACTGAAAATATGAGATTACATGGAAAAGAATTCATAACAAAGTAGACTTAAGATCTCCAACGAAACTGATATCCTGATATTTCATAAGTATGAATACATGTGTTATTAGAATAAAATATTTTTTATGTTTGGCGTTAGATGCAGGCGCGGATCCAGATATTTTTTCCAAGGGGGGGGGTGGTTCCATCCCAGTCAAAAAATAAATTCAATCCCAGAAATTTCTTGACAAGAAAAGAAAGAAAGAAAGGAAAAAAAAACTCGCCAAAACGTCAAAAATCTATTTCGGGGGAGAGAGAGAGAGAGAGAGTTGTGTTATGACTTCTATTGTCTCAAATCTTTCATTTTCCACATCCATTTCACACACATATTCGCGTTTCCCGGGGGGGGGGGGGGTCAGCGTTTTCCAAGAGGGTCTATGGTAACCCCCCGACCCCCACTAGATCTGCGCATGAGATCTAAATACATGCTGTATACATCTAACGTAATCCCAACGTTCTTCAACTTAAAAAAAATGTTTATCCAGCCAAATGAATCGAATATAGGTATATATAATTTCCTATTCCGAGTGGTAAAGAAAATAAAATAGGTACAAATGAAAAGTACCAAAATCATGAAGAATCAACTTTATTAATCGATTCATTATGCGAGTGTTAATTTCATTTTTATACAAGTAATTTCTGTTAAAGATGTATCTACAAATTAGAAATTTTAAAAGCTATAGAGAGTTTATTTAAATAAAAAAACATAAAATAATTCTAACATTTTTTTTTTTTAGAAAATCAAGATCCTAGTCAAATGTACTGTTTATCGTTAGGTACTTTTAGTTCGGAGTCGAGTATGCATAGTATGCATTTTTTTTACCCGCATTATACGATTTCTCTTGTCAGAATTTTTGTCTGGCATCAGCTAATACCTCCGTATATTGGTTATGATCTCGGTCAATATCGAATAACGTATTCTCACAAATAGATCACATGGAAACACTTCATAATTGTTCGATTGACATTAGCTAGAAATCGGACCGAGTTTTAGCAAAGAAATTAAAATAAGCAAAATAAAGCACATGCCATCGTCAACGCCATTTAATTTCCATTCTCGATTACATCCAGCTAAGTATACATGAAGCGATAAAGAGTACAGAAAACCAAGAACACAATGAATATTCTATGTGCATAATAATGATATGCGCAGCTGTATGCGCAGTAAAATTGTTTGTGTAATTTTTAGTTTCCTCTGCTCGTGCAATTTTTGATTTTTGTTTGTGCATATTATACCCCTAAATCGTGCAAAAAATGTCGGATTCGTGTGTTTTTCGCTTTGTTTGTGTTAAAATCTTTCAAACTATGTGCAATTTTTACCTATACGTGCATTTTTATTTTACTCGTGTATTTTTTTCATCTAGCTCGTGTATAAAATCTTGATCGTTGTGCAGAAAATACTTTTGAACCAATCGTCGTGCCATAATTCTCCCCCTAAAACGTACATAGATTTGTGATAATCCAATAATTATTTAACCTCTTGTCCATCTCAACATTTCAGATGAAAGTTTGAAAATTCATCTTGACAAATGTTCCAAAGATATCAACTGTAAACTTTCTACTGTCCTAGACAAAAACGAAAAAGGTGTCATGTTTCTTTGCATATTGGCAGAAAAATCGGAAGTATGTTACATGTCCAGTTGTTCTTGTCAGAAAAGGCAAGGAAAACGAGAAATTCAGTCAATAATTTTCCAGCATGTAGACAGAATTGGTGATCGGGATATTGATGATCTACATTGTGAGCTCAGAAAATCAACAAAGCAATATTTGCAATATAAAACAGTCAGCAGTTTCAACCAAAATGTAATCTGTACAAACGGTGTCACACAAAATGGTTTCAAGGAGGAAAACACTTCAGTCAAAGAGGGATGTTTATACAACAATCGAAAAAATAAAGGTATGGAAACAAAATTTTTGCCTGATGTCATAACATATAGCAACAAATTTTAGGAAAATATAATTGGAACTTAAATAAGCGCCTTAAAGTACCGAATGATCTTTACAAATCAGCCGCATTTATTATTAGAATTTAAAAAAAACTATTTAGTATGAGCACAAGATAAACATCTATAAGATACTTTTCTATCATAAGACCTCAATGGAAGGTTTGCTTTTTGATTGATAATTTTATAATTAGTGACAAATTCAATAATTTCATGTACCGGACACATATTATTCAGGCTTTGGACAATATTAACAAAAAAAAAACATAAATACGATGCCGTTCAATAAATGCTGTCCTGAAGTCAGTGGTATACAAAATGGAAATCATATGAAAATATTTCCATTTCCAATTGTTTTCTCTGTGATAAATACTACAAAAGTCCATCTTATTAATATCGTGGTAATACCTGTTGTATGTATATATATATACTACTGAAAGGTCAAATGTCAACCTGCGTGCATATGAATGGGTATAAATGCACTGAAGAAAAAAAAAATAGATGGCTTGTTTAATTGTCTACTTAGTAATTAGATATGATATATCATTTTACAAACAAAATAAGTAATGAATTATCTTCGGAGCAAGTCGGTAGCGCAACGCTGTCCACTATCAGCGAGGCCTAGGGAACTCCACTTCCGTAAACAGCTTATCTGGAGCACGTGGAGAAATTGGCACAGCCACGCTCCATTACCTGATACAGACATCATCCCTCAGTCATTACCACCGACTTCGTAGGCAACTCAACTTCCTCTGCTGTTTTAACATTCGTAAGCAACTCAACTTCCTCAGTCTGCTATTGCAACATCCTCACAAATCGCTTTCCTGACCAACTCCCGTTTCATCAACTGCAACATTGCATTCAATATGGCGGCGGAGAAGTGGCCTACACACGTGCTTGTTCTTCCGACAACCTAAATTAAGGTCATATATACAATTAACGTTAACAAGATTGCTTTGGTCATAATTTAAAATTCTTTTGTTGTTTATTTCATAAATGTTGATATTTAATTACTGTAACTGTACAATCATTAAATTTGTTTCGTGTTTTTATGGGACCACTTTTTATATTAAAATTTGACGTCATGGGGCGGAGCAATTAAATAAAATGGAAAGCCTCGTGCATTTCAAATCTACTAATTTTGACGGTATTCTGATTTATTTTAAGATTGTTATTTCAAGTAAAAATGAAAATATAAGGAATCACTGTCTAGTTAGGAGACTATGCCAGGAACATCAACAATAGCGGGTTTCTACCGTTATGCAAATTATTCCATGTTTCCCCTTTTGTTGATGCCCTGGCATAGTCTCTTTATCCATTGGATATTTCCGAAAGCCTATTACAAAAAAAAAAAAAAAAAAAACCAAAGGATTTCTCAATAAAAGTATCTCTAGTTTTGTGATAAAATAAAAACGTTTGAAAGCATATTTGGTGTTGAACAATTCTGACAACACGCAGTTATTACACAGTCACGGACGTTGGTGCTTGTGCAGCTGCAGTCCACGTGCACACACTAAAAATTGACCGATACGAAGGTAAGATAAACGCAATCCGATTAAAATCAGATCCTTTGATACGCTCACATAAAGATTGCTACACAAGGATCTAAATAAACCCCATTTAGGCTCTTTCATAGATTTTATACTTTTACACTACAGTATAGAATTGTGAATTAGGTTGTTGTCTACTAAGTTTACCATCAGGGACAAAGAGTGGTTCACCAAGCAGTGGGTTGCGTATGAAAAGAAGACAATTAAGGAATACACATACATTACAGGTATTAAATTTTAGGCAGTATATATTTTGATTATTTCGTGTTATTCAAATTTACCTCTAGAATGATTTGAAACTATAAGTAATAGAAAAATGTCGCTCTCCTCATTTGGGCAATTCGGAAATATTGAGTGAGGAATTCAGGCCACTCGACTTTTTATCATAAATGAATTGGGTTTGCTTCCTCCTATACAATGTTTAAAAATGTGATATCGGATAAGTTAATAAATATTTGTGTCAATAACTAAATGTATTCAAAACAAATCAACTTTGTCAGCGAGAAGAAGAATTTAAAAGTGGACGCAGATTTGAAGAATGATTTCAGTATTGAACCGATTTGTTGGCTTCTTCGGTAAAGTATTGTGGCATTGTATGATTTGTATGTTAAGTGATATTTATTCTTTCAAACTCGTAAAAGAAAATGAGGATAGTTTTTCTTAGAATCAAGATTACATTTTTCTAATCTTTAGTGTGGATTATCGGTTTTAACGTCTTCTACAATACCACCTCAAGTGTTACAAATTCAAAACATACGTGTGCCCTTCCTTGGAAAAGAAATTTTGGATTTACAACCAATGCAACAGATGAGACCGGGTATGAAAGTTTTTGTATGTTTTAAACTGAAATATTGCTTAATATTTCTACGAAAACCATTCATCTAAATATTTTCTCTTTTTATCGAGATGTAATATTGGACTTGTGCGAGTAGCGCTGACCTTTACAGTTGACAGCTTATTTTTACACTAGAGCAATGTGCGGAAGCTCTTTAATTAACGATAAAAAGAATTTGCTCAACATTTAATTTAGCCAAAATAAATGTTTTTTTTCAAAGCATAAATCAGTTTTCCTTAAAGAAAACGACAATCACACTACCCTCAACTCCCGGTCTTCACATGTTATGTCCCGAACAACATTAGGGGGCACTACCTTTGACCACTAGAAAGGTTAGCCTATCAATTATCAATTCTGTACCTCTGTACATGATACAGGTTGAAATGTCAAGTAAACCGTCAACTATAAAAGCCAGTGCTTCTTGCAAAAGTCTATTTTGAATTCAAGTATGAATTTACTTTTGAGAAATAAATTTTACAGAAGATTTTTCGACGGATTGAGAACTATAATCACGGGTTTTTTATATAGTCATGAAGAAGGTAAGATATATCAAAATTCCTTGGTAAAAATAATTTACAAATAGTTTAACATAGGTATATATTTAAAGAAAGAGAAACAAACTTAAATATATCGTGATAACGAACAGTACTCAAGCTCAAAAGTCCATCAAGCAAGTAAAATAGAAGTAGAGCAAGCACAAATCTTTTAAACATAAGGTGTGGGATGCAATTTCTGTAATTAAGATCACGGGTTTTTTTATATCATGAAAATTATATCAAAATTCCTTTTAAAAAAAAATACCAATAGTTTAACATAGATTTATATATTAAAAGAAGGAAACAAAATGAAATATATCTTGATAACGAACAGTACTCAAGCTCAAAAGTCCATCAAGCAAGTAAAATAGGAGTAGAGCAAGCACAAATCTCTTAAACATTAGAGATGAGATCAGGTGCCATGGAGGAGTGAGCATCCCCCCTCAAATAATCATCAGATTTATATGATATTCAATTTCTGTAATTAAGGTTGTTTTTACAAAACATTTTCTAAGCATATATTAATAGGTTTTAAAGGAGAAACATAATGCTTTAAAGAGATTTTTTATTAATTTTTTTTTACATGTAACGTGAATTATTGTGCATATTGTAAATGATATTTACTTTCCTCGATACACGACATAGGGATACATTGTACATGCTGTTATATCCATTCACCTAATGGAAAGACATTATTCTCCTCCTGAAACGTACATAGATTTGTGATAATCCAGTAATTATTTAACATCTTGTCCATCTCAACATTTCAGATGAAAGTTTGAAAATTCATCTTGACAAATGTTCCAAAGATATCAACTGTAAACTTTCTACTGTCCTAGACAAAAACAAAAAAGGTGTGATGTTTCTTTGCATATTGGTAGAGAGATCGGAAGTTTGTTACATATCCAATTGTTCGTGTCAAAAAAAGCAAGGAAAACGAGAAATTCAGTCAATAATTTTTCAGCATGCGACTAAAGGTGTAGATAGAATTGGTGATCGGGATATTGATGATCTACGTTGTGAGCTCAGAAAATCAACAAAGCAATATTTACAATATAAAACAGTCAGCAGATTCAACCAAAATGTGATCTGTACAAACGGTGTCACACAAAGTGGTTTCAAGGAGGAAAATACTTCAGTCAAAGAGGAATGTTTATGCAAAAATCGAAAAAATAGAGGTATGGGAACAACATTTTTGCATGATGTCATGACATGCACTATTATTGCAAAGCATTATAACACAAAATAATTTTAGCTTGATTGATTAATGAATTGCACATTGTTTAACGTCCATTTCGAGAATTTTTCACTCATATTGACGTTAGAGAGCTGCAAATTTTGTCCTGTACTCGTCACTTTGGGCCATTGGGTAGGGAGGGATCTTTTTCGTGCCAGCACCTAAAGTGACAAGGGACCTCGGTTTATATGGTCTCATTCGAAGGACCGACCTCAACGTCTCACAGTGGGATTTAAGCGCGCGACGTAAGAATCAGCTCCTTACTTCGTGGCTCTAGAGCAGACGGTCTAACCACTGAGCCACGCGAGCGACAATTGTAGCACGAATGAGTGTCTTAAAGCACCACACAATCTGTACAAATCAACCACATTCATGATTTATATTTTACAAAAACATTTTAGTATGAGCACAGAATAAACATCTGCAAGAGACTTTTCTTTTAAAAGACCGCAAAGGAAGGACTCTGTCTTCAATGAATTTTATAAATGATTGATAATTTTATTGAAAGTTTAAAGAAAATCAGTTTCAAAGTTTGTAATTTTTTGTAGACTGCTTACTGACGTTTTTCAAACTAATTGTTTGACCGTTATATGCACACTGAATTGTCGACGGATTTTCTTTTTCGACGGGCATCACAAAAGTTGGAAATGTGGGATAATTTGGATTATGGCGAAACCTATTTTGCATAAATTATCCTACGTTTCTAACTATCGCTGATTTCCCTGGCAAACTCTTTTAACTAGAAAGTGATTCCGAAAATTAACTGATTACCGTCTATGTGACCACGTTTCTTCAAATAGTTTCATAGCAAGACGTTGTAAAACGAGACAATTAATGGTTAGGAATCAGTAAAAATGAAGTCAGAAGTTCCATAAAAGCTGCCGTAAAGATCAGATTAACAAAGAAATATTCTTTGAGATATTTGCTGTTACAGCAACCATGCAATGTTTGTTTACCAGATTATTATTGATTATATTTGATTTACTTTACCACGCATAGGTAATTTATTAACATTTTGGAGTAATGTTTCATTTTTTTTTTCAAAGAAATGCATTGGCATTTAAAAGGGTATTACCCAAATAATTTCATATATTTCAACAAATGAATGAAAAAGTCAGGGTGTAAGAATATCCAAACAATTGTTAAGAAATAATCGAAAGTAATGTTTATCTACATTTGTCTGAAATTCTAACAGATAATTAAACCAGATTCAATTACTTTTAACCCCAAAGAAAAATTAGCAACACGTGCACCTGACCAAAACAAAAAAATCAAAGGTCTGAGAAGAGCAAATAATTGCCAGGATACAGGGGTAGTTTTGTATTCCATTTTCTTCAATATTTGTCTCTTTAAGTTAAGATTTCCACTCTACTACGTGTTCCCTTTTTCCGAACTTGAAAAAAAACCTTTAAGAAAGAAAAAAAAATCATTTCCAGAATATATAAGGATGTGATATATTCCAGTATACGAAGAGTATGTTCGACCATGCGTATCATAAAAGAGATAAACAAATTAAATAAATATGTTAGAGACATATGTTTTAATTATGGACAGCATCTAAAGGAGATCTAGAGCAGAAAATCCAAGGAGTTTTTGTTTCTTTCTTAACATCGAGGACATGATTTATTGAACAGCCTTCATACGTAATACCAAAAAAAAAAAAGCTTTTTACAGCACTGATAAAATGAAAGTTCAACATATCAAGCGATTTTGCAAGCCGAGTACATTTTTTTTTCAAACTAGAAAATAAATAAATCGATAACAGAGTTAGAGGCAAATTGCAATGTAACAGGGTACTGGATTGACAATTTATCCTAGGATTTTTATACTCTCTGTATACTTGTGTGCATGGATGAAGTGAATCATATGTGATGAATGCAATGGCGGATATCAGCCATGTCGGTCTACATACAAATTTAAGGGTAGCGTCTCAGTGAATTGTTTCACTTGGCAGTCTAACCTTAATGCAAAGTGACAAAATGTACAAGCTGTCATTTGGTAGTGTCAAGTTACTGTGGCATGACACGTTTTGCTTTTCGTAAAGTGTACAGCGTGTTCATACAACTTTGCTTGATGGCACTTTACCCTTAAGTGCAATTAAAATACTTTATATCCAAAAAATAAATAAATGAATAAATATAAACAAAAAGATAGATCAACCAACCAGCATGGGGGAACTATTAACACTGAGAAAGTTCAGTTCCTGAGACTTTATTGCGGTCGCGATCGGGGCCGAATTAATTACTATAATATATATTAACATATATAAACGTTAACTTTGTGTAAAAATTTTAAAATAATTTCTTGTGAAAGTAAGGATATTTATAGTATATCACTCATGTCTCCCCTAAAAAAGGTCCTTTGAACGGCTACAAAAGACCGCGATCTAAATAATATCTTACATTTCTACCAAGTGAATGCCCCCTTCCCCTTAAACAATTAAAGATTCTAAAATGAACAAAAATAACCAGTTTTCTAAAATTCTTTTAATATGGCAATGCTTTGCAGGTGTTATCTACCCTCTTAGTAATCTGAGGATTCATTTCGTCATCTATTTTTTTTATCAAAGCTTTGTGAAAAAAAATCTCGACGGAATTAAATGATATGTGATTGATTGAATGATTGATTTTATACTATCTATTCAAGAATTTTTCTCACAGAAAGCAACCACAATATACCGGTGATGGGCTCCAAATGTTGACCTTTACTCGACACTCAGGACGATAGATTTGAACATATTTTATTATGTAATAAATACATAAATGGATTAGGCAGCAGGTATATAGCCACAGGTTTAAGGTTAATTAAAATACATTATAACACATAATTAAAAGTTCATACATGTATATCACCAATAAGTTAAAGTTTAGTAACACAAAATGGATGGACGCATATGTTAATAATCATTTTGGCCCCGATCGCGACCGCAATAAAGTCTCAGAAACTGAACTTTCTCAGTGTTAATAGTTCCCCATGCTGGTTGGTTGATCTTATAGTTTTGTTTTTATTTATTTATTCATTTATTTATTTTTTTGGATATAAAGTATTTTAATTGCACTTAAGGGTAAAGTGCCATCAAGCAAAGTTGTATGAACACGCTGTACACTTTACGAAAAGCAAATTAAAGCGTGTCATGCCACAGTAACTTGACACTACCAAATGACAGCTTGTACATTTTGTCACTTTGTTTTAAGGTTAGACTGCCATGTGAAACAATTCACTGAGACGCTACCCTTAAATTTGTATGTAGACTGACATGGCTGATATCGGCCATCGTAGATGAAGGATATGGAGATAACGAACAATATCTAATATCAAATTCCATAAAACAATACAAAACAGGAGCTCCAAAACATCAGGGGTGTGATCAGGTGCCATGGAGGAGTGAGCATCCCATAGGAGTAGAGTATTGATATTTAAATGAAACAGAAACATTAAATATTTTCATAATTTCGTACGCTTGACAGGTATTTTTAAAAGTCATCGGATAAAGGCAAAACAACGTTGTTCCGGTTCAATTTGTCATATGCCTGGAAAATATTGCTCGATTCATGCTGAATTAAAAATTATTTTTTTTCTCACAGAAAATCGCAATCAAATCATATCAGTATTTATATTTTAACAACATCATATTTAATTTTCCTATTTCATTTTGATTATTTTCAAATGGTACTGATATCGCTTTTAATTATTAAAGTACAATTAAGTGCGTCTGATGCATGGTACGAATATAGAAATAACAAACTGTATTTATCCTCCCAAGTCCATCAAAACATACAAATCAGGAGCAAAGAAAACATGGATTGCTACAAAATCAAAGGTGGGATCATATGTAATGTAGGCGTGAGCATACAAGACCCTGTCGACCGATCACACCAGCCGTGTGCTCTTTGTCATGGTCGGACAAACGAAATATTCCATAGACAATTCAGTGTAAAAAAAATGGTTTATATTTATAAAAATCATGTCATTATGTTTTTGAATTTTTTTTTGACGAAATTTAATTACGTTTGATAACGTTAGAATTACACTTTTAGATACTAACATGGGTATGAACGTTCTCTTTTTCTTCGGCGGAGCACTGTTGGGATTGTTCTTTGGAATAGGTGTCACTGTAGCATATTTTAAAAGGTAAGAATTTTATTATTTCTGTTGTTGAATAAATCATAGATGTTTACATGGATTTACGTATGATGATACTTCTTACAACAATGTGTGTAACAATTACATTATTAAGTGAAGCTATTTAAGAAATAAACAACGTTATTCAGTGAACGTGGCGTTATGAATAGCAATTGCTCTGCTGGCATATTCCATGATGCGCGCTAGCGCATCATAGAAAATATGCCAGCAGAGCTATTGCTATTCATAATGCCATGTTCACTTAATAATCGTTGTTTATTACTTATATTTGCATTTTTGATTTTTTCAAGAATATCAGAGGAAATCCTGACTTACATAAGGACGCGGCTTCTTGTCTTCAGTAAAGAAAAACATACGGCTTTAAAATCCGTACACCTGATCAGTGCTCTTTTTCTCTAATAAATCACAAACAATTTATAAAGTATTTGCCTCTCAGACATAGTTATTTGGATACAAGCCGCGCTGTCATCACATTCTCTTAATTTTTGTTTTGATGCAGTTGCATGTGACGTCATCGATCAACGTTATTGAAACCCTCTGACAAAAATCAATAATTTAACACTATGATGAAAAATGAGAATGCTTTAATAATGGTTACCACTCCAGAATGCTTTTCTATGATTTTTTTTTTTAGTTTTTCTATTTATTTTTAAGAGCTGAAATCATTCTTGTAATAGATATACTATAGTTAAAGAAATTTTCTTTTTCGGAATGTTATTACCCAAGTATGAAGAGTTGTGATCGTTCTTTGTACAAACATGCAAAAATATGATACGAAAAAATAGAAATATGGCAGTTCTCTAGAATTTTTTAAAAGTTTTATTTACAATTAAATACATTTACCAAAATTAAATTTTCAAAGATATATATCAGCAATTTTAAATATTCTGAATTTCTTTTTTTTCAAAGATTATTATTAAAAACTTATATTTATTCCTTTAGCAAAACATTTCATATATATACTTCTCAACACAGTAACTAAATGTAGTAGAACTTGTACTACAAGAATGTAAGATAGCACTTGCATTCATAGTAGAGGCAGCTGCATCTACAGTCCTATGAACGCAGTTGATGACTGCATGTTCATACTGGGAGAGAACAGTGGGAAGGCAAATATATAAAAATGATCTGTTTATATTAGCATTAAATGCTTTGTTTGTGCCATCATAAGTCAATTGTACAAAGTAAAAAGTAATCGCCACAAGAAATATTTATTTGAAATTTCTTGTATGGAATGATATTGTTTTGCCTTGTAGAAAATCTAAAAAACCAAGAATTTTATCGGTTCGTAACATGGTATATAATCGGGAAAGGACAGACGACGAAGAAATCACTTTCAAGGAAATTACTGAATATTCTGAAATCACTAACAATTATAGTAATATTGAAGTAAGTATATTGAACACACATCTATGAACAATGATGCACATATTTTTGTAATGTAAGAATATTAAACAAATCTAAAATCGGAATTTGTAGGAAGAAGAAACACTGTTGGAAGGAAAGAGAATGAAAAATGCTTGCAATCAAGATAGAGATGGGTGTATTAATCAACATGGTAAAACGCATGTTGTACAATCCATGACTGTGAAAGAAAGCCTTAGCAGCCCAAGCTTTGTGGAAAATTCACATCCACTACAATCTGCTGAAGCTTTAAAAAGGGAAGAATATTTGGAACCTACCACTCACCATTATTACACGCAATGTCAGGTGGATAGCAATCTTTTCAAAATTGAGAAAAAGGAAGACGAAGGTTGCGCAGGAGGGAAAGAAAACCATCATGTCAATGAAAAGGATTGTGCAAATCTAGTTGGTCCTCGTGACGAAAATGTTGATCATTACACGATCTTGATCGAGAATTCCACAGAAAATCGTGAAATCTTTTTACCAAAAGAAACAAATCATAGATCTTCAAACCTGTGCAATGTTAGCGATGATTATAGTGAGGAGGAACCACCATACTATGTTTTACGCACAACTCAGACAAATCAACCCGTATATACCAATACATGTATTGCAAGCAGCGACCAGGAAATTATTCAAACATAATCCCTGAAAAAAAAAGCTTCTCCCAAAAGTAGAAGATTGATTAAGGGTTTGAATTAATTGCTTTTTTATTCATAGAAGCTAATGTGTTTTTTTTTTACTTTTCATAATTCGTTTTAGCCACTGGAGCAACTTTCAACAAAATAACCGTGGATTTTTCTGTTCATGTGGATGCAAACAATGCATACTTCTTTCTCATGTCAATGTTGCATGTATAGGGCAAGTAGAAACAGCATTGGTTGTTCAGGACCAAAATACTCATGGGGAAAATGGGTATTTTGCAATGATCACTACATGTTTAATTAAGTCATCATTCATATCATGAATAGACACTGTCTTCCCTTCTAATCCTTAGACTCTAAATCTTAAAAAAGAGAAAAAACTATTCACAAAATAATTATTGTAATATTATTGAAATAAGAGAAAAGCAAATACTATTTTGTTGTAAATAATATATTTTGATTTCTTGTATTTTGAAAAATAAAAACATTCATTATGACTGCATAAATTATATTCCTAAACATATGGGTAAAATGTTCATGCTAACATTCATGATTTGTCTTATTCAAAAGGGAAATGTAATATAGGATTCAATTAGCATCCGGCATTTAGTAGATCCCGATTTAAGTCACTACTTTCGCATAAATATATTTCAAGAGAGGTTTTTATGTACTAGTATTTTATTCTTATCCTGCAACTTACACATGCATTGGCTATATTAATAATGCAAATTTATATATGTTGAGATGTTCCTAAGTCGTGTTGAATAAAAAAGGGTAACACATTGAGGTCTACACTCATAACAATGCTATGCTTGGTATGTAAAGGAAATATACACGACAGAAACAAATTAATGAAATAAGATCGGAGTATTTAATAAATATAATGTAATAAATATTACAGGAAGTAACGTCGAGGAACATTTTTGATGCGGCTTGATAAAAAAGATGGCACGGCTTTCCGGCATAACTCGGAAAACGGCTAGATAAGGAAAATTATATTTCAAGGAGGCATGTTAAAATTTTACACAAAGTAACTTCCTCATACTAAAACACCATAGAGAAGTGATAACCTTTAGCATCTACGTTTTCAGTTTCAGAGAAAATCACATACATAGCTAGGGCTGTTACCACTGAGCTCTTATATAGACTCGATATACAGTGTGATTAAAGTTTTCAGGGTTTTTTGTAATTTTTAGAACAAGATTGTTAAAAAGAATTCATAATAGAAATAAAGTAATGTCGCCAATTTGAACATGTTGAAAGTTCAGCAGGGATATTGTAAAGAAACTTTTGACACGTTAGAGATGATCGTTTGAGGGTCTTCATTTTCAAATATACTCAACAAAAACAGAAACGCAATTTTTTTTACTCAAGAGAGAAATTTTGAAAAAGTATATGGAACAACTATCTTTTTTATCACTGGATACCTGTGACCTATTTAAAGGACAACATGAGCTTTTAAGGACGTTCGATCCTGAGATTTTGAGTGCATTTTGGTCAGGTCCTTTATTTATAAAATTCTGAATCATTTTTAAGTTTTAACATTAAATCTGAATTCTACAATGCAAATTTAACTATATCCAATGAAAAAACCGCGATTAAATTCCATTTAAGTAGAATTAAGCTAGGGACTATATTTTGTAGCGGAAGGTTTTTTTTAGACGAAAATGATCAGTTTTTCCATTTTGAACTATAACAGTACTGTTAATTTGGGATTCCTATTTTGCCATCCTGGTTGCACACAAAGCTGTTTTTGCATTGAAATATGTTATGCTGGTTCTGAACTATCTATTGAATTATTTCTTATGAATTCTATCAACAAAGTGTGACAAATAAAGTCAATATATTCTGAAAATCCGGGGAAAAATTGAGCCAATTTTAACGTAAAATTGACACTCCTTTAGTAATATCTGAAAATTTACATCATATACCCCCACTTTTGATGTTCTTTTCTAAATATTCAAGATAAATTTGACCTATATGCTTAAAACCAGAAAAAGTTTAAGACTTTAGAATAATTTTTTTGCTTATTAAATTTTCAATGCCAGAAAAATCACTTTTTATTAGTGCAGAAAGGTCAAATAATTGATTATGCGAAGCAATTTGAAACTTTTTCATAGTCACAATTTTCAAGTGTCTTTTTTTAAACAAACTTAGAGTTCATTTTGTTTCATGCTTTAATTCGATAAAAATATTGGAGGGAAAACGTCAAAAATTTAATTTTTAATTAAAACACAAATTTCAGTGCAAAAGGGTCATATTAAATGTACTGTAGCGCCAAAAGAAGCGTATTGACCCCCATTTTTTGATTTGAATTTTAGTTAAGCTGTGTATGTAGAAACTAAAAATATACTTGACCAAAAAAAGTAAGACTTTAAATATCAGGATCGAACGTCGTTAAAACCGAAGTGTTGAATTATTTCCCTAATTGATTAATTATGTTTATGAAAAATAGTGTTTTACATTATTTCTAGTAAATCGGAGGTCTATTCTTATTGATATTCTGGATTTAGAGAAACAATAAACAGTCCTACTCAACCCATATTTAAGATTTTATTGAAATCTTGATGCTATATTGCCAAACTTTTACAAAGATGAACGCAACCGGGCTAGTGATGATTATAACAGGAGCTACGCAATAGGACGTTGCCACTGCATTTGGTATATATCAATCAGCTTTGCAGTGGTTAAACTTACGTCTCCAACAAGTTAGGAACACGCTTGATAGACAAAAAACTGGCAGTCCGCGGGTTACAACACCCAGACAGGACTGTCAGACCCCCCTTCAGCACCTGCGCTATACAAACAGATGCTACAATTACTGGATGAAGAAATCAGTATAGAAGTGCACGAATTGTTCGCATGAGTGTTAGAGGAACTGGCATTCGTGCACGATGTCCGTACATTGGAAATCCACTAGCGCTGAGACGTTTCAAAAGACATATGGATTGGTTAAGACGGTATGCCCCTAGAATTAAGAGGCGACGGCAATTATGGCATCAACTTAACTTTACAACCTAAAAATAGAAATATATGTGAAAATCCTTTAAAATGCTACCTATGCTAAATTTTCATTTCAATGCTTTGTTAATTCATTGATGTTGAAGCTCAGGAACCATAAATATATAATGCCTTTTAAATTACATGTTTATATAAAAACTGGAACTTGAAAAAAAAAAAATTGAAAGTCAATTGGAATCATCGAATTCCACTTAGTGCTTAAATCAATATTTGAACAAAATCAGAATTTTTAATGTTATATTATCTATTTTTTTTATTTTCTTCCTGTTCAGGCTAAATGCCAATGCCAAAAAAAAAAAAAAAAAAAAAAAAAAAAAAGAACGAGAAAAAAAAAAACATTTTGCGTCAATATACGTGCATTTCAGAAAAGATAAATTAATACGTGCTTTGGTGAGAAAGTCATCGTTTTAATTAAAATCTGAATACATTTCAGCATAAAGATTTTGAGGAACAGCGGATATCTGAAAGTCTTAAACGTACCCCATTTCGAAGAACAATCCAAATTAATTTAACTCCGATTTTAGAAAAATTGACTATATTAGATTTGAAAGGAAAATTCTGAAGGATTGTTTTAAGTATGGAAATTTTTTTTAAAAAGGTGCTTCGACCCAGAATTACAATAAAAAACATTGTGATTCTCAAATCCTTTGGAAAGTAATATAATGTTAATGAGATTTTTTTTACTAAATATTTTTAGCTGACCGATGTTCGACAATTCAGCACGTATCCTATTAATACATAGATTCAGCATGAAAGCATATGCTTTACAAAAGAGAGTATTCTATATTCGTAAAAGAAAATTAAATGTTTTAAAAAACATTCGATTAAGAATTATTCCGACTATTTGATCCATACTTATGGCATGTTGGTGTGACCAGTTCACAGGGGATGCTTATTCCTCGATGGCACCAGATTCTACCTCTCAGATTTCCGGGGTTAGGGTTTTATACCCTGTTTGGAGATTTTATTGTATTTTAACCATTTACATGTGTTTAAAGTGATAATAGATGAATTGTTAAGTTTACAAAAATATCAGTTTTATAGATCTAGTATTTATTTATAACCCCCGATTTGAAACGACAACTATCTGTTGATTTGGAGCAATCGCCGTCCGTATGTTGATTACTTTTGGGGTACGCATGTAATGATCATACTTGTGGTGTCAAATAGCAAAGTTTCACTTTAGTTGAAGCTAATCGATCAAACATTTATCTTAGTACATCTGTGGTAGATGTAACTGAGGAAAATATTTAAAATAGGTTAGAGGAAGAAGGCTATTGACGATGGGGTCAAAAACAATAATCATAAACCTAGTCACACTTCTGTAAGGATTGAGCATGTCACACAGCGTTCTCAATATACAACAATACCTTTGTATCCGGTGTTTATGAGCAGAATCAGGTATGTTTTTTACATTTTAGAATGAATCTGTTATCTTTACGAGTATGGTCGAAGATATGATTGGTATAGGTATCAAATAATTAGCTATTTTTAACAAGCAAGACAAATTTACTTTGTTAAAATGTTAAATTGTGAGATGTATGCATTAAAAATTTGAAGCTTTTAAGGTTGTCCGGTGAAATTAAAAACGATTGGTTTCTAAAATTCTAAGAACCGCACTGCTTATGAATGAGACCACGGATATAAAAATTCATGTACACTGTATTTATCATAATTATGTTCTATTAAAAAAAGATTTTATAGATAATATACACTGCACATATACAACGTATTAACTATTCACTTTTATGTGTTACCATGTTAACCATGTTAAACATTTGAGGAAGTTTATTATATGTATGTACTTCATACAGAAACAAAGTTCAAAAATATTTTATGATTGATGTTTAATATGTATTTGTCTTTCTAGAAACTGATACACGATAGAGTCCAAATTTTGTTGTAAAAGTATAAAACTCAAAAGGAGCAAAAGTGCTTTCTTCCATGTTGTAGGATTTCTTGAATAGATTGAAAAAGTTTATGGAAATAATGATTGATATATCATTATTGTGTAAGACTTTTCATATTATGTTTCTTATTGATGATTGAAATTATCATTTTTAGAAATAAACAATGTATCATAGGTAAAAAGCAAAAAAAAACTAACGTTTAATTTGATAACCATTAGGAATAAATAAAGTATCGGTTGTTTCAGAACTTGATTCTATATTAATAAAACGTCAGTATGCAAGCAAATTAATTTTGTTTTCTTTATGAATTTCACATTGAAACGAATTACAGGCTCAGAATGAAAACTAATGATATTTGTGATCCTTATTCTGATTGATTTCTTTTCTTTATTATTTCAGTTTTCATCTCATCTTCTCTGACAATGGCGTCAAATTGCGATAAACCGCTTGATTTTTATCTTAATGGCCGGAAGAAGATAGTGTAAGTTTTGAATTTTCTACTGTTCGATTTTATCGTTAACTTATAATTATTTTTTAAAGGGTATGCTTATCATCAAGATACAGATAAACATAAAAAGTGCGAATAAACTGAGATACTAAAAGATCAAGTTTCAAAATGCCAAGAGCAGTTTTATTAAAGAAAAGATTTATTAAAAGGTTAAATGTTTACTTGTATTCGTTTTAAAACATTTATAGGGGCAAAACATTTTTACAAGACACTTTTAAAGCCTGAAAACTTTTTATTATATGCAGATGCATGATTGAATAGAAGTGGGCAAATAAATATCCATTAAGCTGCATTGACTTGTAAAATTAAAACAAAATAATATTCAGAAGAGTTAAGATTTCTGTCTGGGGAGCAATTTTATAATTCAAATTTGACAAAGGATACTACATGTACTTGATTGTATTAATTTATCTAAATTTCATATTATTCTACAGAGGTTTTGAAAATATAATCGAAAAAATAAAAGAGGCACTTCAAATAACAAATTTGACAGGTGAGAGCTAATTATATATAATACAACATTCATCTTGAAATCAACCAAACATTTAAAAAACAAATAGCATTGTTTTGGTTTAACACATTGTATCAATCGCATAATTTTTTCGAGAAAAATGTAACATTTGAAAGGATTTTATTATTTTCCCTTACTGTCAAATTACTTAAAAAATTGTTCTAAAATATTACCTATCTGGTTATTTTTAAAAAGAGATTTTGCTTCCTTTTTTTCTTTAATAGAAGTTGAAAATCCGTTGATCAGTGATTTCTTCTCAAATGAAAATACTTTTGTGGAATTTAAAGTTGCAAGAAAAGGACCACTGAAGATATGTGTTGTTTCACTGAATAATAGAAAATGCTTTGAAATAAGATGTGACTGTAAGGACGTCTCCAGACAACATGGACATGGTAGTCTACAAATAGTTAACGTTAGACTACTCTGTGAAGCCAAAACACACAATGATTCACTTCAAGATCGCTCATGTCAAGAAAAAATGATAGTTGATACAAATAAAAATAAAGCATTGAATCACTATCAGTTAGAAGTGACATCTTCAAAGGCTAGAAGAAGATTCATAGATCAATACACAGGTTCCAATTCTACTACATTCAATTTAATGCAAAGTGGAAAAGGTAAGAATAAATAAGTTTATTTTTGCTGGGAATTGTAAAGTGCAGGTTAACGTGAGAATTATGTCATTTTGAAAATATGTCATAAGTCGCATGAAATCGAATTTGTTCCTTTTCTTTTTTAAATAAAGTGAAGACTGAATTAGATCATCTCATCAAACAAATTTCCACTTTTGACGTCAAATTAAAAAGACATGTGCATTTGAAATTTTGGGTTAGGGTCCCTGTGTCCAATGAATTAAAAGTAGAATACTTTGATTTTTTTTTTTCAAACTCAGTCTTCCAAAATTCTATCCTCAAGTTGAGTGACAATTACATGTATGAAAATTGAGAGACCTCACAAATGCGAACTGTTTAAGAAACCTAGACCTAAAATTTCACTTATTTGCTAAAAAAAGTTATCTCCCTTTGATGTATGCCAGAAATCTTCCTATGTAAATCCTCGAATGTCTTCCAAACTCAAATCATAGTCTCGGATGTAAAACGACAAAGACGCCATCGTGATTATTTGAATGTTTCTAACATCAGGGGTCGGCAGTTTTATTCATAAAGCAACGTATACAACATGTACAACAACCAGTGAGCTTCACGAGCTTAGTAAGAATCATATATGTAAGGGTATTTTGGCGATTACTGCTCTGGCGCTTGATTCTTTTCGAGAGTCATCGTTAGATTTAAGCATCTAGGGCGGCGATTGAGAGGGTAATCAGACCAAAAATCTGTTATGGAACATCGACAACATTAATTATACCACGTTTTGTTGTTAGTTTCTTAAATAAAGCGCTGGAGCAGAAATCGCAAATGAGCGTTGCATTCATCCCATCATTCGGTTCTTTATCTCCAAGATGGTAGACATAGCCGCCATAGTATACACATTTCACTGTCCATATTGTATCTTTTTTGCCACCAACATAAAATGGAAAACAAAGCGGATCAGCACAACATTGAGGGATTGTTAATTGATATACCTGCTTTCTAAAGGTAAGCGGGATATAGACACCATATAGGTACGTTCATCTTTCATTCTCTTACCTTTTCTTGCTGCTAACAAGTATGATATAGAGTCTTGCACGTTGAAGACGAAAATAGACCAATGAAAAGTACCGTTAATGTGTTTGATTATCTGACCAATGTTTTTGTTTGGCATGCATGTTATGCTAAAATTTGATAGAAAATTTTAGTAGAAATGGTCTTTATAATAATGTGAATATTAAAATGCAAAACATTAATTCATGCATGGATTTATTCTTAAGAATGTCATTTGAAAAGTAGTGTGGAAACTCTAATGTAAGTTTTTCCCCAATGAAGAAAAAAAATTAACTTAAATTGATAGAAAGAGATTCCGGGTGGCATTCATGAAAAAGAATACAAGATACAGGTGTACAAAGCACATATGGAAACTGTCTCCGCAATTGGTATATGAAGTATTCTGAGGTAAGTAATAATAAATTCATGTATTATATAAGATTTTTTTCGTAATTTTCATTGGCTTAAGGAACGTCATGTGATATTCCTCCTTTTGTAATGTCGACGCGAAAGCGTGTCTGCGGAAAATATGATATCGCACGACACACTGTTCTGTTGCACTAAAGCAACGTAGAACGTAACGTCATAATATACAAAGCGAGTTTTAACCATTGTGACGTAATGACAGCCGACTTTGTTCAGTTAGAACTGTGTCAGTGCATTCACTTTGAGTGATTATATAATATGACTATTACGGACTTCAGTGAACAGTCGATATGTGGTTATAAGGACTAATGGCAATTGATATTGACCGAAAACACAGAAAGTGATAGCTAAATCGCAGGCTCGGTCGCTTTCACTTTCTTTGTCTTCGGTCAATATCAATTGCCATGAGTCCAAGTATATTGTACAATTATGGACTTCGGTGTAGGTCAATATGTGGTTATAAGGACCCATGGCAATTAATATTGACCGAAGACACAGAAAGTGATAGTGACCGAGCCTGCGAGGTCGCTATCATTTTCTGTGTCTTCGGTCAATATCAATTGCCATGAGTCCTTATTTAAGGGGATGAAGGACCTTTGGCTGAAAAAATACCAGTCATTTAATTTTTTTCATATTTTGTATATATCTTATTTAGTATGTCCCACATACTATAAAGCAGACATATCAATAGGTTTCTAGACTTATTTCTGAGATATTAAGTGACAAATACCATACCCCACAATGTCTCAGCGAAGTTTTTATTCTCCGTGTTTCTGGGTCCATTACTCGGTCGATAATTGAAATTTTTCAGCATAGATAAAAAAATATGCCAGCGGAAATGTGTCTTTTAAAATATTTTAGAGTATGAATAGGGTTAAAAATTCGAAAAAGCAAGATTCTTTTGTAACACCACATCAGGAGACGGAAATTTACGAACTTTTTAGGACAACTTAAACCATAAAAAAAATAATTTGCAAAAAATCCTATCATTCAATATTTGAAAATTTACGTCGAAGTTCAAGGTCGTCATTATATTGATTAACTGTAAAAATATTGATTTGTGAAGCTTAGCTCAATATTGCACGGGGCAAAGTTAAACGAGTCATGATCATAAGAAAAACGTGTCATGTTTACATTTCTTGAGTACGGGAAAACCCAACTATGACGTCACACATTTCTGAAATAAGCGAAATAAGACATACCCACAGAACTTTTCCGTCAACAATCATGTAAAAATATTTGCTGCGTTCTGAAATTCACAAAATACCCAACCATGTAATATTATGGCCCGTTTTTATGATTTTATACTACCCGTTTTTACCGTGTATGATCTAACTGTACTAAGAGATCCACTATGACGTCAACGACGCGCTGCACGCGCAGTGTAGGGAAACGATAGAGTGGATTAATCTATTCCGTAATTTGATAATATTTGCAAGAAATTTTTAATGTTTTCAGATGTTTTTTATACTAGATGGTGAACGCAAACAAACAGTCAAAAAAATTATACAAGTACTGTGGTTTCAATCTTGTTTTATACATATTTTATCAGAGATTATGACGTAAATCAACTGAGTCACGTGACCATACATCCTTCGTCCCCTTAAGAAATAAATAACAAGTTTATAAACTTCAATGGGAATTGAAGTGGGTCGGTCACGTGATCAAATCCTGTGAAGGCCGAAGGCCTTCTCAGAAGATTTGATCACGTACCGACCCACTTCAATTCCCATTGAAGTTTATAAACTTGTTATTTATTACTTATATATACATTTGAGACAGGGAGACGATTAAATATTTTCGAATATAAATTATTGCACTAACCGTCCGTCGTAGATTTTGAAAAATGACGCAAAGTGTAAATCGGCTTGAATGGCGGTAATGCTTCGATTCACTGGCATTAGGCTAAGGATTTTATTTCTAAGGGACCATTTTGTGAAAGGCTACTTGTGATCAGTAATAGTGAACATATTGTTGTCTGGGAATATTTCTATTCGTGAAAATTGATAATCAATGCTGAAAAGACACAAGAAACACGCCTTAAGATAAAAATTTGGAGGAATTTCGGTCGTCAGAAAGGGATGGATGATCCGATGGATGGAAACACTTGACCGTGCCAGTTTATTTGCAACCAAGTATTTCAGATCAAAAACTTTTAATCTACGATTTCAATAACTATAGGCATATTCATGATGTAAACAACGGATACACGGAGACACTAGCGAAAGCTTATATTGAACTACGACAGCGCCGGGGTGTTTATCAGCTGTTCGTGGCGTGATTGCAATGCTTTGATATTTTCCAACAGATTTACACATTTATCGTGAGTAGAATTTGATGAAAAAGTTATAGTTTATCGTTAATATTTAACTAAAAGTCTACCCCAAAAATAAGGATAAATGTTAGAGATTGTACAGCTGGAAAAAGTGACATAAAACTTGTTAACAAAAGCTAGTTTCTATCGGTATATTTTCCATGTACACAGATTAAGTCGATAGCCAAAAAACTGTATGAAATACTTGTTAATGTTGTAAATAAAACTGTTATTCTACTTGCATATTTTGTTCATTTTTATACATGAAAAGCAAGTAGAATAAGTCATTTTATATTTATGAACCGGTAGATATTATTGCGCCGTGTGATTAGGTCACGTATTGACCTCTGACCTCGGAAAAACTTCATACAGAATTGAAGATATTTGTTCTCCGTATGTTTATATACCACAAATGTATATATTACCACATACTGACCGTTCACTGAAGTCCATAATAGTTATATTATATAATCACTCAAATTGAATGCACTGACACAATCCTAACTGAACGGACTTGGCTATCATTACGTCAAATGGTTAAATTCACATTTATATTATGACGTCACGTTCTACGTAACTTTAGTGCAACCGGACGGCGTGTCGTGTGATATCATTTTCCGTGGACGCGCTTTTGCAAAAGGAGGAATATCACGTCAGCCAATGAAAACTACGAAAATAATCTTCTTATATAATATAACCACATATCGACCTACACTGAAGTCCATAATTGTATAAAATTTGATATTCAGATTGTACAATCGTCTTACAGTGTCAGTTTTCTTCATGATATTACATGTACAAAGAGGTTGATTAGGAGGATTAGGAGGATTGAGGGAATACAAGAAAGGAGAAATAGGGGATTATGAACAGTATTCAATCTCAAAGTCAATAAAACAATACAAAATAGGAGCTGAGCAAACACGGACCTCTAAAACAACAGAGGTGGGATAAGGTGCCATGGAGGTATGAGCATCCCCTGCTGATCGGTCACATCCGCCGTGTGCTCCATCTCTTGATCAGGAAATAACGGAAAACTCCGTCGTGAATTCAGTGTATAAATAATAGACTAACAATTG